ACAAAGGAGCATGCAGCCCAACATGGGGCCACATCGCCGCTGCCATTGCTAACAGTTCCGGCCTGTAGTGCATCACTGTTGCATTCACTGCTTCCGCATCTTCCCTGGGCTTGATTATTTGCACTTCACTATTCAACAAACTGTCTATAGTAAATGACTTTTTCGCTTTCTCTAGTGTACTTGGTATAGCAAACGATTCAGGCGCAACTGAGGATTCGACTGCTGGTAACGGAGGAACACGAGCATTTGACTGGCTGGCGAGGAATAGACTGTTGAAATTCGCCAACGCCGCCAGCTCTGCTTTCAGGTTATCCTTCTCGCCTTTCTGCAGTTTAAACCTCTTGCGACGGCGTAGCAACGAGCCGTTCTCGAACATGTCGAAGGCCTGCGGGTGCAGCGTCCAGTAGGCGCCCTTGCCGGGCCGGTCGGGCCGCCGCGGAACCTTTACGAAGCAGTCGTTGAACGAGAGGTTGTGCCGCAACGAGTTCTGCCAGCGCTGCGTGTTGCGTCGATAGTATGGGAAGCGGTCAGTGATGAATTTGTAGATATCCGACAGCGGCAGCATGCGTTCCGGCGAACTCCAGATGGCCATGGCCGTGAGGGAAATATACGAATACGGTGGTTTTTGATCACCGTAGGAATCACGCGACGGCCGCGGCATGTTCGGGTGTGTGTGGCTGCGGCGGTGCCGAGGCGGGCGTGGCGTGCCGAGAGGCGGGGCCCGAAGCGCGCCGCCCCGCGCGGCCCACAGATATGATAACGAGTATGCCACTCGCCAGCAAACCGCATCTCCCCCTGGTGCCCGTCATTACGGGCATGATTGACTGCACACTTACCTCTTGTTGGTTTTATATCTACCTACAAGTACCACGATGGTAAGTATACACTTCAAGAAATAGATTACGGAGGCTGTATCTAACTTTATTCATTAATTGATACTTAATTGAACACTTCGCGAGTAGAGAGTGGTAATTACGAGGTAAAAATATTGATAGCATTTAGCACCTAAGTATCACTAATCACTATAACTGCGAAATATCGGTAGACAAGATAAATTTACATCAAATTAACTCTTGGAAGAACGTTTATGAATTTTCACAAATTAGTAGTTGTGTCTAGCGCCATCTGTCATCTAATAGTGGTACTAAATTAAACACAAAAATTTTCGATTCTTCCGATGCCTAATAACAGTGACATTGACACAAAAGGTCAGTCGTTCACTGCAGAACGATCCCATTGCCATTCTCGCTGAATCTCTTCTTTGGAAAGTGCATAAAGAGGTGCCTTAAAAAAGCTGAAAGCGTTAGCCGCTCAAAGTTGACCAATCGTAGACCAACCCAATGTTGTCATGTGATTATTCTAACCAAGTAGAAGCTTGGAATCTCAATCACAATAACATTTCACATTTTCTGAATAAATCTCAGTAAAGTCAGAAAAGGGTCATTTTTGGACCGAGTCACTGTCCTTGAAAAGCAGAGATATATTTGTGTATATGTATAATCCCAAAACAAAAAAAACAATTAAAACATTTTATTTTTTACATAGAAATTTATTATTACAAACAACGGTATTGTTTACATACAAATATTCAATTTCACATGATTTTATATTACAACGGATTTAAAAGTAATCCTACCAGGGACAATATTGTACCTATATATTTTGGAACAAAAAAGCTAGTTACATTTTATTTATATTATTTTCACAACTTTTGCGTTAGTTCGGGGACCGCTTTAAACAAGTCGGCGACTAATCCATGGTCCGATACCTGAAACAACGTAAACACAGATTTAATATAATACAGGGGCACCATTTGGGCATTACAGGGTGTGAGCAGTAGCGGTTTGCTGTCTTGGCCGTCGTAGGTCCCAGGGGGCCTACCACAATCTCTTAAAACAATATTACTTTAACCATACATTGACTTTTCGTACCATAACACGCTTAAAGTAAGCTTATTTGTAATGTTAAAACTATGATGTTTTATTGGCAGCTTTGTGACTATTCATTCACTCAATTCGTACTATGACGCGACTTTGACATTAAAGTAATATTGCTCTTATGTCAAATTTAGCAATCTTAAAATAGTTACACGGATGCAACGGAAACAATATTATTTTCAGTTTTATTGTCTTAATACTGATTTGTGATGATTAAAAGTTAAGTTGAACTTATTTATTTACATACATCTCTTAAATATTTTGTTTAATTTTTATTTAATAGCACATAGGAAATAATTTCTCGTAAAATAAAAACACGCGATGTTTACTTCGTAAAATTATGACAGCTCCATCTACACGCTCCTTGGCGAAACTGACAGTTGACACTAGACTATGGTTCCGAATTTACATCGTGACTATCAAGACTCAGCTTGTTTTATTTATTTTTTTCCATGAAAATGCGGAATAATAATTGAAAACAACTTAATTTTAATAGATTTCATTATTACATACTTTTCTTTTTTTGGCAGTTAAAATTCTCTGAATGTAAATAATATTAAGTACTTTAACATTACACTACGATAAAATTATATAAATTATTTTGAAGGGGAAGGGTGTTGGTGAAATTACAGGCACATGGGACATGACAACTTATGTCTCAGGGTGACGGACGCAGTGGCAGTGCCCCTCAGATCTTTGCGATTTAAAGCTCTGAGGACACTGCAAATGTTATGGACAGGCGTGTAGCTTACCATTAGGCGCACGACTTGCTCGTCGTGTTGATCGAACTTAAGTTCGTTACGTTTAGGTATATTGCAACAATATCACTGAATGTACTAAATCAAAACACCAAAAAGCGTTAGATCCTTGGGTACGTACAGAATTATCGCTAGATGAACTGAGAAATAAATACAAAAATGGCATTGACTTACAATTATAAGTCAATGAAAAATGGTGTCAAATTTTTGATACTTTAGGGTGCTCCATACTTTTGACCAAGGCTTATTTATTTTGTTACCAGTGAACTTCTATACAATTTCGTATATCCACAAATAAATGAATTATGCACTCTTAAAAATTGCGTGTTAGTTGTATAAAATAACCTGGAAAATAGGCGCTTCGGGGTCTTTGTTGATGGCTACGATGGTCTTAGAGTCCTTCATGCCAGCGAGATGTTGAATGGCGCCACTGATGCCCACAGCGATATACAGGTCCTAAAATAAAGCACCGAACTAATTTTAATTTAGATCATAATAAAAATTACAAATGAAAAATAAAAATTAAAAATGGTTTAGTTTAGGTATCTACCAGAAAGTACAAAGATACAAAATTCAACATAGGAAAAAAAATAAACATAGGAAAAAAAAACATAGGAAATTCTACCAAGAAAGTCCGCATAAAAACAAACATGATTTGTTGGATGTACAATAACATTATAAGCAAACAAATTACGTATATGAAAACGTAACGACATTTTTTTTATGCTGACAGTAAAATAAACTGCGGTTTTTAGAAAACTACCACCTATAGTTTTAAGAAACACCTACAGTTTTTTAAAAAATAAAGGCCGACTTACAGGAGCAACAATCTTGCCGGTCTGCCCGATCTGCAAATCGTTGGGCACGAAGCCAGCATCGACGGCAGCTCGCGACGCGCCTACCGCCGCGTTCAGCTTATCAGCCAGATCGTACAATAGTTTGAAGTTCTCGCCGGACTTAAGGCCACGACCTTGAAAAGTATTAAATTTGCATATGGTAATTCAATTATAATTAAACAATTCAACTTTTTAAGCTCTACTATTTATTAGCAAGTTTATCTATAGATGTACGATGTACTACATTATGACGTAACAAGACCGTTTTCAAATGTAACTTCTTTTTTTTTAATATCGAGGGACGGGACGAACAAGGCGTGCGTCTGAAGTTCAGCTACACACCTGTCCATTATAGTTGCAATGCCACTCAGAGCTTTAATTCGCAAAGATCTGAGGGGCACTGCCTCTACGGCCGTCACCCTAAGACATGAGTTGACAAGTCCCGTATGCCTGTAACTTCACCAGCACCTTTACCCTTCAAAACCGGAATACAGTAATGCTAACATTGCTGCTTGGCGGTAGAAATTGGTAAGGTGCTCTTGGAGCTCTACTGCTTCTAAATACACTCTCTCTCATTTATACTAAATAAATTCTCTACAAATAGGCTGTATTATGCTTTGAAAGATCGCATTATTTAAAAATGTGAAGATATTAAATACAATGAATTTAGATTGTAATTCCTACTAAGCTGTATGTACTTATCGATAAAGCAACAACATTACTCAATTTGTTATCATAAAATAATAAGAAGTATCAACAACATAATAGGGAACAGATAACCTTTTACGTTGATTAGACCAAATCGTCAAGGTCTCTACATTCATTAAAAATTCTATTATTTTTGTGTTCTAATAGTGAGCCAGACATTATCAGTCATACCGATTTAAATATATTGACAATAATGACTTGAAGATGTGAAGACGGGAATCGCCTGAGTGGCAATGGTGGTAATGGTTTAGTACCAGTTCTATCTAAGAAATGCATGCTCACTAGTCGGACATGCAGAAAATACATCTTCAACTTTTGAGATTGCAAAATACTATGATTTGTTTTTTATTTTGCTCTCTATCTCAAACTTTAAGATATAAATTTTATGAGAGGACGCTTGTACTTTGCATCATTATATACATACATTTAGTAGTAATTACCATAATTCTTTTATTTTTAACCGACTTCAAAAAAGGAGGTGGTTGTCAATTCGACTGTTTATGTATGTTTCGCGATAGCTCCGACATTTGTAAACTGATTTTGATAATTCTTTTTTTGTTGGAAAGAGGGTACCTCGGTATTGGTCACATTTTTTGAAGAAAATATTCAACCTCTACGTGTGGCAAACTAAGAGATGAATCCGGTTTCGCACCGGTTACTAATTGCAATGAAATTCAGTTTAATTCCACAAACTTTTGAGGTCTGTAGTGATTTTATTACTATTGTTATTGTACAATTAGCTAAAATAATGTTATGGGTAAAAACATTTTATTATTATAATATTAAGTTTATTGAATACCACGATGTTTTACTATCATGATATTCAATCATTTTTTTTTAAATTACTATCACTACTTTGTTATAACTATTAATAAAAAGGTCGAACACTAAGAAAAATTCCTTTGATCCGGCTGTGTGTCTGACGCTCCCCCAACTGAGCTACGGAACCAACCAGCAGAACTTACGAATTTTTCTATGTGCTTGGTGCAGATTTTTGTTTTTGATTTTTAATGACTTTTTGCCATAGTGCCATCTATGAGAAATCTATGATTCGTTCATTGTATTATTAATTGAAAATAAATGACCAGCACACACCACACTCCCCAAGACAATTGTGAGTGTTCCCTTTGCTTTGAGGATTGCGGTCGGAGCCTCAGTGTGGACATACCTCCAGCTACAATATTTTTGGCACTGGTGAGTTCGGGGCGGTCTGACTTTGTAAGTTCCTGGGACACAAATTGTGTTAGGTCAGTTTTGTACTCTCCTTCTGGTGCTTTTTCTATAGCCGCTGAACCACCTTCCAGAGGTTCTGGAGGAAAGGCAGTGCCTCTTATGGTTATGACCTTGATGGGGTCCTTGGCTTCTAGTGTCAGGATAGCATTTCCTGTTAAAAGATAAATATGTTAATTTCATTAAATAATCTGATGGCATTTCATCACATGGAAACGTATACAAGTTAAAATGTGAAACAATAATAACTTTAATTAATAAGTTTCATAACTTTTAATCATAATGTTTTCTGTGGCTGTTTGAAAAGCAATCTTAGGATCCGGTTTTACAAAGTAGCTTGTGTTTGTATATCTGTTTTGTATATGTTTAATAAATAGTTTTTATATGTTTGGTATTGTGCAATTTCAATTATTTATTACTCAAATTGAATATGTTCTTTGTATCATTATTGTTTGTGTCAAATTTTATTTACTTGGTACTTAGTGTAACGGGCTGTTGTCCGCAACTCGACGTCAAGGTGCCTATTTTGATAGTCCTCAGATGCTAAGTCATGGACCTTTGACATGCTTTTTCTAATTATTTTATCTTGAATTTAATTTTCATTTTTTATTTTTTGTTTTAGTGTTGTAAATGTATGTGTTTTGCATGACAAATAAAGCCTACTTTATCTTTTTTAAATTTTATATTTACAACGAAATCAGGTAATTTTAAAAATGTATTTTCACATGTTGATTATGCAGATGAAACTTATCTTCTTAGACTTCTGACAAAAATTTACTATTTTATCTTATAACTGGTTCATTACCACAACTACAGTACTTTTTATTCATTCAATTAATTTATTTCAAACATAACTTTTGCTACCTATGAAGTTTTAAAAAGCCTTCTTAAAGTTTTCTCCCTTATAGGATATACATGTGTTACATGAGTATTTCAAGTACCTAATATACTCCTGGACACAATTCGAGCCACCTCGCACTTTTGTCATAAAGGTAATCATAAAATAAAAATATAGTGTTTTCATTGAAGAAAAAGTTTTCCCCGGTTTTGCAAATCCAAATGCCCAACAAGGACTTATGGCAGCAAATGTTTAGTATACTAGTTTCAAAATTGCATAAAAGTTTTTGGTCAATCAAACTTAGTTTAAGCTTAGGGCACTTAACACTGAAAATGCATGGTGACTCGAATTGTGTCTGGAAGTGTATATGGAGCATACAAACAAAATGTGTTAAAATAGCAAAATAATCAACTTTTTGATTACAAATTATAAAAGTACATTGTTACCTGCATAAATAGTCCTTATAAAAGTATTAGCATCCTTAATACCAATAATATCTGTGATTGGCGATACATCAAGTTTAGCTGCAACTCGGGGCAACAGGGCTTTGCCAAATGCTGTGGCTGGGGCTACAATATGTGTGAAATTAAATTGCTTTTGAGTCGCCAAGATGAGTGGGGTTAAAGACTCTGCAGTAAAACCCTTGAAAGCTTCACTTTCAGCTACAAGAACTTTGGACACTCCGCCCGCTTTGGCAATCTTCTCTGCCGCCTGAAAATAAAGGTTAACAGAAAATAAACTAATTCTAAGGTTTGCTAAGTGACTTATCCTTTGGACCGCTGTGTCAGAAGACCGAAGTATGAAAATACTCATTACATTCAGGCTTTACTTTGTAAATCAATGCACGCTTCAACTTTCATTGGGTTCGCGGAGTAGTAAATTAATTTATTTTCATTTTTAAAGGTATACTTACAGGGCCGCACTTAGTTCCAGCTACTAGAACAGATACATCGCCACCGATTTTCTTAGCTGCATTCAAAGCATTCTGGGTGACAGCTAACAGGTTCTCGTTGTTGTGCTCAGCAACTACGAGCGTACTTTGCAATCGACGAAGCTGATGAGATAAGAACATTTATTATCAGGGTTAAAATCAAATCTGTCACTTTAAATTCACAGCAATTAACACTAACTTGAGTAGAGAAAAACAAATGCCTGCTGTATGGCGAGAACATTTTGACAATATGTTTGTTTTTGCAATAAAATTATGACTATGGCTTAATAAATCACAATTTTTAAAAAGGTTACAAAGTCCACTTTGATTTGATGGCTGAGGAAATTACAAACTACTAACTAATGGGGTGGAGGAAAGAAAAACACTTTTTTTTAGATCGTAGTTTTGACAGCAGGACACAAGATTACACAAACTCTAAGTTAAACAGAGTTAGACGACACATTTTGTGGCAAAAGAAAAGCAAACAATAGTCTATGGTTGCTAGTAAATGATATTCATTCAATTCATTCGCAGTGTTAATTTTCATTCAATTATTTTCATTCATGCAGAGTAGATGTGCGCAAAACAGTACCTCGAAAAGTAATGTGATATCACATTACATTCCCGTAAAAATGATATTATATGTGATATTACTATTACCAACAACATCAAACAGTCTATCACAACTAAAAAAAAACATACCGACGAATTGAAAAGTTCCTCCTTTTATTGAAATCGGTTAAAAACGCGATGCGTTTTAAAACAACATATAAAACGCATTTCTAGAACTTAACTACTAGAACTTGCATTATAAACAAGATCTACTTACATATTACTCGAGAGAATCAAACAAAAATTACGAAATATTAAAAACCGTCTGGCAACCTACACTCACCCTGGTCAAATTTTACATTATAAATTACCAAGTAAAAAATCAAAATATTGTATTTAATCCAGCAATGATTAACAAATTATGCAATTTCATTTTAAATGTCTACTGTTTAAATCGTATACACCATCTAGTAAGTTGTAAAATAACAAATGCACTCCAAAAATCAGACGTTCTTTATAAATTGTTACATAACCTCACTTTTACTAAATCTCATACAGCTCTGCTCTCAGTTCAATTCGCAGAATTTTCAGTGATGGTATATCAATACCTACGCAATTAACTGATACCGCCTTCATGTTTTTACATCTTGGATTGATTGTATGAAAGCGAATCCATCTCCTTCTAGATTCAAGAAAATCTAAATATTATATTTAACCAAGCACTGATTACCAAATTATGCAATTCCGTTTTAAATTGTCTACGATTTAATCCTTTTACACCATTTAGTAAGTTATTAAATAATTGGGGTTCTAATACAAACATCGTTCTACTGCAATATTCCAAATTATATGCATTTACATTGCATTTCGCGTAATATTACTATCACATTAGATGTTTCATAAACAAACATCACTCCATGATGTTACCATTACAACATCACTCGCATTACTAAGACTATAAACATCACTCCGTAATATCACCATCACTCATTACATTACGCATCGCGCGTACTAATACCTAACCTAGCCTACAGGTTTCTTGACTAGGTCTTTCTTTACCGTTACTATTACAAATGACGGATACTAAACATTTAAAAGATTCCTAAAGATTGTTTACATTTAATTGAATATCTTAAACCAACAGTGATCATGATTTGTTGACATTAAAGCTTTTCTCATCTTTCAGGTGAACAGTAGTGACCATGTTTGCCAAGCTTGCTGGTACTTAGCGCATAGACCACCTGTTGAAGCACCAAGGCAATATTGATGACCACGTAGTGTTTGTCTCTGCTGTGAGCGTTCTCTGCATCACAAGCCATCTTCATCACTTGAACTCAAATTATGAATTGAGAATTTATAATGTTATAAAAGAATGGATTATGCTCTATGAACTGTCAGTTAAATCAGATTACATGTTTTTATAATTACTTTTACTGTAAGCCAAATAGATATTTTAAAATACTTAAATGATTATGTTTGTTTGTTGCAGGTAGAAGTGGCACGTCGCATGTCATACTTGGGTACTACTGACCGAGCTGCTGTCCATATGGTCTCGGACTCATCAATTTCTTCACAAGGAAGCTATCTTGAAGAAATACAGTCATAGACACAAGATCTTCCCACTGAACCTCCAAATGAAAAAGTTAGAAACTAACAACCTGAACCTACTATTGTATTACCAGACTACATGAGAACTATAGAAACGGATGTAGGTGCTTTATTGAAAGATACCAGACAACAGAGAGGTACAGAATGAAATATTATATCGCTGAGAATTTTTGTTATCTTTGTGATTGACATTTGATTATTGCAGCATGGGATTTTTTAGACAGTCTGTGGTCTAATTATGTAGCAGACTTTACAGCAAAGCAAGCATAACCAGGATATGATATCCCTATAAGAAGTTCTACATCTTGGTTTACTGCATTTTGACAACACAGATTATATGGAGGACCAAGTCGTATATACAAATACATGGATTGGCTTGAATAAAGTATTCTCACTGCTCAACAAAGTTTCTCAGCTATTGGAAATATCATGAGCATCCTTAGCTTTAGCAGCATATTTGATGAAGCTTAGAACTGGAGATTTGGAATATAATATGACAGATACAGATCTAAACAGTGTCAGATAGTACAGCAAAAACTTGAATAAAATTTTTGGTAAATTATGTTTTGTAAAAAGTCATGGAACGAAAGTTGTCTATAATGTCAATAAATAATATAGTCTTATGTTGTCGTTACTATTTATAAAATAACCCTGTATATAGAAAAAAAAACAAATGCACTCCAAAAATCAGCTGTTAATTTTATTATAAGTTGTTACATAACCTCCCTTTTACTAAATCTCTTATAACTGGGCTCTAAGATCGCCAAATTTCGTAGAATTTCCAGTGATGATATAACAATACATAAGCTATTTATTGATATCACTTGCAACTTTTTACATCTTGACCCAAGATTGAATGTAACAATCTCCTTCTAGATTACCAAGTAAAAAAATCAAAATATTGTATTTAATCAAGCATCAATTAACAAATTATGCAATTTCAGTTTAAATTGTCTACGGTTTATTTCGATTACACCATCTAGTAAATTATTCAATAATTTGGGTGCTAATACAAACATCGTTCTACTGCAATAGTCCAAATTAGATGCATTAACATTGCATTACGGGTAATATTACTATCACATGAGATGTCTCATAAACAAACATCACTCCGTGATGTTACCATTACAACATCACTCGCATTACTCAGACTATAAACATCACTCCGTAATGTCACCATCACTCATTACACTAAGCATCACGCATCATAAACATCACTCTGTAATATGTATTAACATCAAGCGTACTGTTTCAGGTTATACATCACGCGGGTAATGTTTCGGGTAATGTATCACGCGCGTACTGTTTCCGAGTGATGCATCACGCGGGTAATCACACATTACATTGCATAACGCCGCGTACTGTTTCGCGTAATGAGTGTTAGTAGCGACACCTGGCAGCAGCGCTACGTAACACTACGGCACGGTTAGCAATGTCCCATTAAGTAGTACGTCGAAAATTTGCTGGGTGGCGCTGTTGATGTAGATATTTATATTTAGTTGATATTGGGAAACACCCAGAGCGCCCCGACATGGTCGATGTAATGAGTAATGCATATTTTTCCAAAGTGATCCGTGATATCACAGTACCCTGCTGCGTGATATCACCTTTGTAATATTACTCACATTACTTACCATGTCTAATGCAGAAAGTAAGTAACGAAGGGAATGTCACTTGTCTTATTTTATTTAGCGTGTACCGGTAGTTGCACGAAGTTTGTAATTTTTATTCAATAATTTAATTTTAAAAATTCTGGTATCAAGAAGTTTACGCATAAAATGTCTTCTTTGCCTATTGTATCGATAACCAGGCGGGAAACATTTAGTTCCTGTCACAGATTGCACAGGTAATATTTTTGTTTCTATTTTTGACGACGAAACATTATCAAAGATTTGTCCCGTACCACCGGCACCGGAAGATACTTTTGTCTCAACGAATCATGTAACATTGCTTTTAATAAATACTTATTTAAATTAAGGCATAGGTACTTTAAACTATCTGTGTTTGTGTTATTAACATAGTCGCAGATTGCCCACATGGGATTTTTTGACGATATAAAAAATCTAGTAGAGGACAACTTTTTCGAAAATCATTTTTTAGCCGAATCCTACACCAAATTGCAGTGACATCCACTTCAAAATACTATAATTTACCAGGGATTTTGAAACCTTTAAACCTAATAAAACACATCTAGGCCGCTTCGTGACTAGTCAAAAACCTAGTCACTTTGACCAATTCAAAACATAGCATGTATTTGAGACTTGCTAGGTTTTAAAGTGGTTAAAATGCCTTTCTGAGTATTTGAATTGGCAAACGGTACACCTCAAGCAGTTTTACAAAATAATTGATATAGAGAGGAAAAAATAAATGAAACATGAAAGGGAACCGCCTTAAATGCTTAAGATGACTAATTTTACTTGAAAAAAAAAATATTTTTTTTAGTTTTCTTAATATGAATTAGGTACTGTATTCAAAGATTATTTGAAAAGTTTGCCTGAGCCGGGAATAAAATCAACTAAAAATTCCAAAATATATACTAACTATTTTATTGTACTAATCCATAGAATCAATGATAAGCATAAAATCTTTCCAATAAACATTGGGTCCTACAATTAAAGATATCCATGAAAATTTTTGAGTACACTATAATTTTATTAACATTAGGTACCTAAGCTAAACTGTTTATTTTTAAGAAATAAACAAACACAACATAATTTTATACTTAAACCTTCTACCTGACAAGGATCGAAATAACGTATTTTGTCAGACCTGTATTCCGTTTAATAATAGCAGAATATCCACTGTTTACCTTAATGATACCTCCAATATCTGGATAGGTACAAACAAGACAATTAGATGGTCTGCAATATCTCCAGAACTTGAGCCTCTGGATATTTTTATAGTGCTATGTAGAAAAAGCCTTCTGAGACTGTAGAAGAGTTAAGGTACAAAATGTTATTATTAGCATCCACTATAACACTGGAGAAGGCTACACAAAGTGAGAAGAAATAAGCTCCCACTTTGAGCACATAAAAATTAATTTATTAAAATGTAACAAAATTATAATCCTGTATATTAGGGGGTAATAACTTGACTGATACTTAAAATCTTAGTAGTTTTATTAATTGAGTTAGGTTAGGTTAGGTTAAATTATAATATAAATTTTCTTGTGCAATAACTAAACCAAATTTGTAACAAATGGTGATACT